TTTTTTTTATTTATTTTTTGTTATTTCAATAGGAATAAAAATAGTTTTTAAGAACTTTTTATTTAACTAGTTATACGGTATTTGAATCATATTATTGGCATATTCTCAGTTTCCTTCAAGCAAAAGCGGGAGTGATGAAACTAAAAGTAACAATAAAACTTCATTATTTGAAAAACTTCAACTCGAGTTATTATAGACAAATACTGTAACTCAAAAAAGTGATTTTTTTAATATTCGCAATATTTTTCGAGTAATTTTTTTTTATTGCTTTAACTAAATCCAAAGAAATCGATGATTCTAACTATATACAATATAAAGAAAAATTCCAAAAATTTTCGTCTAAATTTCGAATTATTTACTCTGAATTTTTAGAACAATTTAAGGTATGGAGTTTTAAAGCAAATAATATTTGAGTATAGCCAACAATGTGCATTTTAATCCCGTTGATTTTTTTTTTATTTTTTTCCATTAATAAAAAATTGCGTTGATTTATTTTTTTGCGAACAATCATAGTGCGTAATTACATACCTGTAAATTTTTTCTTTATATTTGAATAATCATTTAAAATATTTAGGCAGTCAAGAGCTCCTCAGGATTCCAATAAAATTAGTTGAATGGAGCGCGATATGTTCGCCTTATATCGATATAAATTTATACGTATGTAATTATATAAAAAGTATGCACAGAAATTTATAATATATTCAAAGATAACTCCGAAAAATAAATCGAGAACGGAAAGTTCATCAAAAATCGACCAAAATGAGGAAAAATTTACCTTTTTACCAACCAAAATTTTTTCTACCAATTTTGGTAATAATTTACCAAAGTGGCAACCCTGCTTGTGAGTTTATAATTATGTATGTATATACATACATATGTACGTACCCTGCAAACCATTTTAACAGAGTATTCTGAATTGTAGAGAAATTTTAAAGAATTCGTAAAGATCTCCTCCGATTTTTTGCCGAATTTTCTAAAATGAAATAAACTGTGCACACTTCGATTGTTTTAAGAAATTGCGGAAGAAAGTCGTAAAGATTCCATTATTTTCTTTCCGATTTTTTGTCGAATTTTCTAAGATGAAATGTACTGTGCACACTTCGATTCTTTTAGGAAATTTCGAAATAAAATCAATAACGTAATTATAATAATGTCACAATCGGCATTGAAAATATAAAAAAAAATCTGACGCACCAAAAAAAAAAATATATATCTTTTTGTGATTTTGTGCTATAAACGCGTTTATTTATAAGAACCGAAAATTAAAAAAAATAAGAACAAGCCAACAAGGTAAGTTTAATATTGCGATTATTGAGGAATTGATAACCTTCTCATATTTTTTAAGTCGGTTAAAAATTTAGTTTACGTATCTCGGCCTGTTTTTGCGTAATTTTAGCGTACCTACAGCGTAATATGTATGCAGCTAAATAAGATTACTTCGTTCACAGATTCCTGTGTGTCTGCAGATGGGAATGCTAAGCTGGACAACACTGAATCCATCATTAAAAGATTTTTCAACTCTACAAAGGACCTTCACGGAATTGTCGAGGACATGAGTCCAAACTTAATAGAATTATAAATTTATTAAATTTAACTTTTTTTTCTAATTTTTACATTCAAAGCAAATATCAACCTTAAACATGTTGTATTTACCTTCTTTATACCATGAAATAGTTAGCTTTTACTACAATTTTAAATACTTACCTTTTGAACGCTTAAAATTTATATTTATCAGTTTATTGTACATTTACTTACCTTAAACCTTGAAAACTATTCTGAATTCTGAATTCTTTTGTAGCTAACATTAAGCTGCCTCATAGGCAAACAAGCATTTTATAATTATTTGGTCGCTATCGTCGCAAACAGCCGGATAGTAATTGAAATCCCGCTCTCATACATTTCATATAGTATATAAACCGAATAAACTGTAGCGATTAATTTCCAAAAATTTCCGTGTTTAATTTCTTTCAGAAGGTTGGCAAAATATTCTTTAAGAAATCTATTCTAACTTTTCTTCAGAATGCTGAAAAAATATTCTTAGAGAGATCTTTTAGAATTTTCCTTTAGAAATTGAACAAAATATATTTAAAGAAATCCTTTAGAATTTTCATTCAGAAATTTAACAAAGTATTCCTAAAGAAATCTTTTAGAATTTTAGTTAAAAAGTCCTATAGATATTTCTTTACGAGTTCGTGTCAACCCCTTCATACGATTTGCTTTGAAAATTGGTAAAGAAATCATTACAGAATTCGAAACACATTTCCGAGTTTCTTTACAATTTCGTTAAGATTTCGGGAACTTTGGTTTGCAGGGTAGCTACTAGCAAAATAATAAGTTAATATTTTTCATTTACTTCAATAGTGTCATAACTCAAAAAAGTAGAACTCGAGATAAACGACTTTAGAGTTTTGAATTTACACTCATATACTCGCATGGTAAAAATTAATAGCCTGCAAACCAAAGTTCCCCAAATTCTTACCAAAATCATTAGGAGTATCTCATTTCTGTAACGCTTTTTTAAGAATCTCCAAAGAAAATTATATGAAGTGTTTGACACGAACTCGTAAAGAAATTTCGGTACGAAAAATAAAGAAAATTCTGAAAAACTTCTGCAAGAAATTATACACATAGCAGCATTATTTTCATTTATTTACCGATTCTCTTCCGAAATTTCGTAAAAGAATCGAAGTGTGCACAGTTCATTTCATTTTAGAAAATTCTGCAAAAAATCGGATGAGATCTTTACGAATTAGTTAAAATATCTCTACAATTCAGAATACTCTGAAAAAATGATTTGCAGGGTACATTTTTTGTTCAAGTGAGATAAAGTAGTGGCAATTTTGTATTTTTTTGGTTATTACACTATTGAAGTCAAAAGAGTCACAACTCAAAATAATACGTTTGTGAGAAAACGCGAAAAACTATTTCTTAGCACATGATAATCATATGGGCAAAGGCGACTTTACTTATGTCGTTTTCGTTTCTACAAAAAATGTCGACTTTTTATTGCTCGGTTGTTTGTGTTTCTTGTTTAGAGGACAATAAGAAGGTAGGATTTTCCGCGGAAACGATAACGCCATTAGATTTTTTTAAAACATAACAAAAATTTGTTCCAGCTTTTCCTGAAAGGTAAATAAAAGCTCTGTGTACATTTTTTGCGCATAATTTCAAAAGTACTAAATTTTGAGTTGTGACTTTTGAAGACGGCGTGCCATATACACATATACATTTCAGGCGCTTCAAATTTCATGCGAAAAGCTCTCACATTGATGTAACAACTCTTCTTACTATAAAAAACATTTCGTCATTTAGCGTATCAACAAAATGCAAAACCGCGTATGTGAGGTTGCATAAATTACTTTCTAGATATCAAAAACACTCATATTTCAAAATGGCGCTCTTATTTATAAAGCAATCGCATTTCCTCCTAGTATATTTCAGGACGATTGGATAAGAATTGAGCCAAGAGCTTGTGTGAGCAAATCCAATTTTTGGCAAAAAATGTCAGTTACGTGGTTTTACACAATGACGATACGCGGTTTCGTACTTTCAGCGACAATTTGACAAATTCTACATACCGTTACCTTAATTCACAAAGGCCCTACCGTAGGGATGCAGAAAAAACATCGATGCATCGAAAATATCGATGTTTTGCTTCGATGCATCGACAATTTTCCACTCGATGTATAAATTGTCGATGCATCGAGGCATTGATGCATCGATGTTTTCTCTAAACTGACATCTCAAGTACATCGAACGGCCAAACATAGCTTTGTCTGAAGTTCATAGAGAGGAAGATGCAGTTTTATAGCTCATAAAATGTTAGTATAATAAAGTGCTGGTTTCGATTGCTTTAATTTTTAATATATTTTCTTTGGCTGACTTGCACTTTGTTATAGTAAAATTTTATGAGCTATAAAACTACATACCGAAAAAGGTTCTTAATGTTTTATATCCATAGTGGAGGAAAACCCTATGCATATCGATGCATCGATGTACTCCCTCCGATGCTTCGACAAATAAAATGTAAGTTTCGACGTATCGATGCGAGGAAAAACATCGATGTATTTTTGCCACTGACATCCCTACCCTACCAACACTTTCCGAAATTGCTTTTTCACAGATTTTGGTAGGATGTATTAACATACACCCAAATGAAATAAATTGAAATACTCAATACAAAAATACGCTCATCAAATGAAATAAATTTACATAAAATAAAAATTGCAATGCAGTGTGCGGTGTGTAAGCCAACGCAGGGACCCGTCTGAAAAAAGAGCTTTTTTCCGTTTCCCGGAGGACCCGAAACAGCAAGAAAAATGGTTGAAGTTTTGCCGGCGATCTAAAGATTTTAAACCAAAAACGTGGAGAATTTGTATGGACCATTTTAAAGACGAACATATTAAAGGGAAGTTAGCTTTTGAATTGGGTAAGATTTGTCCACTATTTTTAGTTTCAACATTTTTGTTATAATACATACATATGTACATATTTTCTTACAAAGGACTACAAACCAGAAGACGTTTGCAGC